CTACCACCGTTCTAATTTAAATTATCATGGTGTGGTTTAAATTCTCATGGGTCAACTAAAAGAGGGGACAACGGTAGTGCACAACATTTTTTCTTCATCATTTACAAGACTTGTAAGAATATTCTCCTTTAGCATTTCAAGTTTGTTTTTTTTCTCCATTTGGATTGTTAGTACAAATTCTTTCACATTTGAATGGTTTTGTCTTTTTGCCAGATTCAAAAATGTTCCAATTTTTTTTTCTTTACAGTATAACTTTGAAAAGTTGTAATCTGTATTAATATGAGATTTTTTGCCACTAGGGTGGAGAGAAAATTAAAGGACTCGTGTAGCTATTATTAAGATATTTCTATTTGAGCTCAGTCTTTATTAACATGATTTTTTTGGGTGAATAATAGATATATAAGAAGTGAGAATCAGAAGAGATGTTGTTGAAGTGTGCATGGACTTACACACCAACATTTCATGTTGTAGGTTCACGTTGCTCCTAATATAGACGCAGAAGACACCAGGAAAGAGTTTGAAGTCAAGGAATAAACCAAGGATGATTATCGTGTACATGTGGATATTGATCTTTGGTGTACATGGTATCCTTTTAGTTTTTTTTTTGTGTGTTATACTTTCATATGTTTTGAGATGCATTATGTTTCCAACATTTTATTTTACATTTTAGAAATAGCATTGGCATGTTGTTTAATTTCAATTTTGTGTCACCAATTTTGTTTTTAGAAAATGGATATAAAAGTTCATTCAAAAGGGTGATGCTTCATTTAAGCTAAAAAGGTTAAAACACTTTATCAAATTTAAAATAGAAAATAGTGTTTTTAGGTTAAACCATGACAATAAAGAAAGATAATACTTCAAATAAAACATCCCACTTAAATAAAAATCAAATCGATAATTCATCAACATTCTTAATACTGAACAACTAAAACACAATTTAAAGCAAACTCTTAACAAAACATAAACATAAAACAAAGAACACTTTACAAAGATAACCCACTATACCAATGCTTAATACCACACTTTTTCAATCCTAACAACACAAGTGCTGCAATGGGAAAATTTCTTTGCTTCTTCTTCATAAAACATGTTGGCTTCTTCATCTTTTTTGAGTTCTTGAGCATTTTCAAGGTCTTCATACTTTTTACTCTATGTATGTTTCTCCTTCCGTTTGTCCACTCGATCTTTCCTCGCTAGAGGCATCTTCTCGAGATTAGTCACTTCTTTTTCTGACTCAGTTTTCATTGATAGTTTGACTCTTTTCCTCGTACTGCTGCAATCAGCAAATCTCTTGCTTCTTCTTCTTCATAAAACTTGTTAGCTTCCTCATCTTATTTTAGTTTCTGAACATTGCACAAGTTTCATAGTACTATTTTAATTTTTGTATGTGTCTCATTTCCCTTACTCTACATATTCTTGTGGATCCAAGAGATTGTTTTTAGCAATTTTTTTTTACCGTAGTAACTCTCTTCTTCATCTTTTTTTCTCTCGAATAACCTTCTTTCACGTTTTGTTAGACTGGTTACTTAAAATCGGGAAGAGACTCATATGTATTTGCAAAGCTTGCTTTATTCAAAAAGTTAATAGCTTTTAAAAATTTGTCAAATGAAACTAAAGAAGAAATAACTTCGATCTACGACTCATATCATAGATTTTTAAAGTTAGATCATTTCTCCTGTAATTCCTAATAGTGTATATAATATTTACGAAGTAAAATATGTCATTTGTAATTATTTTCAAAATTGATGAACGTTAAGTAGAGATGTATATTCATTTTTGGTTCAGTTCCAATTTGATTGTTTGAGTTATTTTGTTTGGTTATGGTTTAAATTTTGGTTATTCTGGATTGAGAGATATGAGAACCGGCTGGATTTATAAATTTTGGTTCAAATCAGTTTTATTTAGATTCGGTTCAGTTTTAGTGCAGATTTTATTTTGTCTTTTCAGTTTAATTTGAAACAAATATTGAGAATTGGGTAATACTCGAAGGTTGGAAGGAGTTCGAGTCCAGTTTGCGGAGAAGTATCGTGTAATTTTGATAATTTCAGAAATTTGAATGAAAATATCAAGTACATCAGGTATTCATGATAAAATATTGAGCAATTTGGAATTTTCAGATTAAAATATCAGATATTTGGATAATCACATATATACTTTAAAAATATTATGGTAATTCAGTTTTTTTTTGGGTAATTCACTTATATTCTACAACATTTGATATTCACAAACATAAATTTTTGGTCTATAAATTGTACTTTTGGATATCTAGCTATTTTAAACTAAATATAACTAATACGTTTAAGTAAATAAACTGTGTTTCAAGTATTTGGTACCTATTGGGTTCCCGGTTAAGTTTTAATTTTGGGTTTATAGAAATAAAATCTATTCAATTTTTGGTCCGATTTGAATTTATTTTTTAATTTAATTTAGTGCAATTTTTTTTGATATAATCAACACTACTAAAATTTAGCGACTTTGGACTTAGATGAAGAGCCATACATTTATTGGCAAGTATAAGTGGGAACTACATTCGGTACCCATTGGTTCCCGTTCAGTCTTAATTTTGGGTTTAAGGAAATAAAATCCTTTCGAGTATTTAAGAGTTTTGGCTCGGTTTGAATTTGGTTCAGTTTTTTTTTTTTTTTTGAGAAAATTCACACTACTAGAGTTTAGCTATTTCGGACTTAGATGTAGAGCCATGCATTTATTGGCAAGTGTAAGTGGGAACCTATAAAAAGTTCTACATTCAAAGTTGAGAAAACTTTTTTTCTAGTTTTAAATTAAGGAATCTGGTTTGTAAAAGGGTAAACTTATGTCAAGTTCAAATGGAACATGAGAGAAAGAGACCAAGAAATCGACATGCACACGCCGCAATCGGCATATGTACGGCTTGTAGTTCTTGGTGGAGGGCATACTTTATTTTGGGTCAAATTTTTACTACTATTTTTGGATCAAAACCAAAAAGAACCGTAATAGGAATATTCTATGTCACCAAAAAAAAATTGATTGGTTTCTTTTACAACTTTATTTTTGGAAAAACAATTGTTAAAACTAATATTCTCCATCTTTCAGAAAAAAATTAATACTCTCTGTTGCTAAACAAATTTGAATGAGTTAAATGTAGTGCAAGCGGAGGTTTCGTAATCCATCATGTATCCTAAGATTTTTGCTAACATACACATCTTTCTCATCTTCTCTTTAAATATATTCAACTCTCTCTATCTAGTTTATTCTTTGCAAGCAAAAGTCTTTCGGATCGAGCGTATAGAAGAAGTAGATATATAGTTTGTAAATTCTGAAATTCATGTGTTTCAAATACAGTCTCGCTATGGTTCTAATTCTACCTTGTGCTTCTTAATCGCATAAGACATCATACTACATGCGAAAGAATTAAGGTAGCCACAATATCATTGTTTCAAACCAAACATCTGAAAACATAACGAAACATAGAACTATTCTGAGATAGTGCTCTTCTACATTTTTTATTCACTCCAACATGACCGCTTCCGGTTACCAGAATTTCTCACCTCTCACCTACGAATGGTAGCCACAATATCAAACACTAATCATTGAACTGAAACGTAAGAGATGCAAAATAAATTGAACCGGACATATTAAAATTGTTTTAAATTTAGAAACTTCCTTAAATGATATTAAATAAACACTACATATTAAGCAGTGTCAAATTCATAGGTGATTATTGAATGATTGATTCAAGTAATATACTAAGGATACATATTTGAATAAAACTATTTTGGTCAACCTAAAAGCACACAATCACCCAATATTAAGTAAAAGATTATAAGATCACATATCTTTAAACTCACGACCCTGAGGGCAATCCCAATGGTAGTACTAGGGAAGATATCTACCTATTAAAACAAAAAATTCAAAATACAATAAAAGAAAAAAGAGAGTAGATTTTTGTGAGGGAAAGTTCTTTGCAGATACAAATACTGATACAAAAAATAAGAACCTCTTCACCAGATATCATTTAGTAATTGATTCTTCCTCATTTCCTGTTTTAAATTTCATTAGATGACAAAATTAGTTTACACATATTACTTTTATATTTTATTGTAAGGACCGAACAAAAAGATGAACAACTTCAAATACATCTCTACATTAATTTTCTGCACACTGCAAAAGGAAGGAAGCAAAAGGTATGTTCATAATACTCTGTTTTCATAAAAATGCGGAGAAGCGGTTGATTCTGTGGAACAAATTCTATGAGTGAGTAACAGTATTCAAAGAGTTTAAACCTTTTTGTAATACCTGGAAAATTTGGAGACTCGTCTGCTAGTAGTCCTTCTACCATTTGAAATGTTTACAATTATAAAAGAAAAACTGTTTTGTTTCACATAGCTGAAATCGACTGATATAGGCTTCTTTACACGTTAACTGTTTCTTACAAAACCCATAATGAGAAGATAGTTTTGCAGTTCTGCTTCAGAAATATACAAGCATACAACTGTTGCTTATCCTCCCACAAAAGCCTTTCCTTTATTTCTTACTTACAAAGATTCCTAACAACAACATGAAAAACATACCTTGTAACATCTACAAACAACCTCAGCAAGGGTAACGAAAACGCATCCGACACTCAGCGTGTAAGTGAAGGGCTGCGTATTCCGCTTTATTGAAACCTCGGTAAAGCCTGAACATATGCATAACAGTAGTTGTGGTCGTGTTACTACTTGTAAAGACTCTTGAGAATATTCTAGAGACGCTAATATTTTGTTACAGTCACCAAAGCAATGCCGCTCGGATCAAAGCAGAATGCATAGGTAGATTTCCCTTATAAAAACACAACACAAAGAACACACTAAATATAGCTTAAACATAACTAAATTGCTATTTTGATAATAGATGATAGGAAAGTTTCTCCAAGAGCATATGCATAACAATCTCACAAATAATAAAAATGAAAAATAGATCTGATATTTGAAAGGTGACTCGAGCCTCAAAAAAAAGAACACAAATCCGAACTACTATTCTTATCAGTTCCACTTTTGAGCAGCTAGATCGAAAATTGTGATCTCATCGACATCCAAGATTTTGACGCGGTTAGGACGCATGTGGCGAACAGAGCAAGCAGGGACACAAAAAGATTCAGACCTTGTGAGGAAAATGCAGAGATCACCAATATCTTGAGTGTAAACAGCGTTACCTTCTTCGTCAATCTTGAACACCATTAAAGCTTTTGTTTCCATTCTCTCTATACGGTACATGGTCTTGGCCGTCCTTTTGTACCACTTAACCATGAAAGTTTCACCGGTGGTTCTTGACTCCACCAAGTGTTCGCTTGTGGTGCTCGAGATCAGAAGCTCCCGTTTGGCCTTGCTCAGCTCCGGAAGGTTTTGAAATTGAAGTCTCTGAATCTTTGGTGTGTGCTTGTGTTTGTGGAGATCCCATGATCCAACGAGGTGGCCTCCAGATCCGACAATGCGAAACATGTCATCTTTCTCCGAGTACATGACAGGGGAGTAGAAGAAACAAGGGTTTGAGATTCTGATGTTGATCCACTCGGTGTTGCTTTGGGCCGGTCTACAAATACTGAGTTGAGGTCCCAAGAACTTGACAGCCACAACACAGTCCTCTTCCTCCGGATCAGATAAGGACATTACCACGTTGGTGGCCATTTGGGTTTGGCATAGAGGCAGAGTTTCAAGAGGAGGTAACCAAACACGACTCTTCCTGTGTGTGTAGAGACCCACTCTACCGTCCACCAAAGACGTTATCCATCCATTGGTTGATCCTTTCAGTTCCGTTACCTCCATAAAATCACCAGGCATCTCGTAATCCAGAGGATTCATGTCACCATCATATCTCCTGACAATGAATCTTTCGCGATGTGGTCTACAAGGATCAGCGCAGCAGATGGTTGAAGGAAGGGTTTGCGATTGCGGCAATGAAGCAGATGAGGAACCATTAGAGTGAAGAGGAGAGCATCTTACCAACACTGGTTTTCGCAAGCATAATTTTGAGGGAAGGTTGAGAATCAGAGACATGAATAGTTTTAGATAAAGAAAGGAGACCTTAATTATCAATTTATGATGTTTGCTCATAATAATATAGATGCAGTGACTTGCTCACCAAGTTTTCCATCTCCATATTAATTAACCCTAATTCTCATTAACTTCAGTTTTTCCATATACTGTATTTTCTCTGATTTCAGCGGGCAGGCTTTTAAATATATATATGGCAATATTTTGAAAACCGGGGAAGAAGATGAAGCGAATATCAGTCATGGTTTACCTGGTTTTACTTGGTTTCAGTCACAGTAAAACCTCTATAAATTAATTATGTTGGACTTTAAAATTTTATTAATTTAAGGAGATAGTAATTTACAAAATTTTCCTAATTTAGATTTTTTTTTTCATTTTTTTTTTAAAATAAAAAAATATTTGATTTTAGCGTATGTATCTTATTTAAATTTTAGAATTTTGACTTTTATATTCTTTTATTATCTGATTTAGTGTATATTTTTATGTTTCATAGAATTGTTACGTGGTTTTCGATATAATTTGACTAAATATTATCAAAATATAATGAAATGTTAAAAAAGATAAAAGTATTTTTACTGTAAATATAAATCCAACAATATAATGTTAGATTGTACTTATATAAAATTATTTATAGATAAATTATTAATTTATTATTTTAATGGGACTATATATTTACATGGCAGTTTTGAAAATATTATTATTTTATTATTTTATCGATTTGTGTCATATTTTATACCGGCCCAAGTTGGGACCGGTAAAATTTATTAGTTTATAAAGATTATTAATTTATCGAGTATTAATTTATAGATGTTCTACTGTAATTCCTTTATTCTAACAAACATGTACTTAAGAACAAAACATTAGAGCACCTTTATCGTTGTTGCTAATGGGGGTTGCTTAGCATAATTGTCATCAAATTTAAAAGGAAATTACCTTTTAATTGAAGCAACGTAGCTTAATTAAGGGAAGGAGTAGACGGTCGCTTATGGACACGCGTCCTTCATTCACGCCTCTTGCTCTCTCTCATCTCTCTTTCTCTCTCGGTTTGTCTTTCTCTTCCCGAAATCACTATCATCTCTTTTTCTCTCCTCGATATCAGACGGTTTGGAATCGAAAACGTCGTGATTGATCTCTCGTCGTCGGATGAATTAATCGGCGATTCCGGTTCTCTTTCTTCACCTCTCTTTGAGGATGAATCAATCGGCGATTCCGGTTCTCTTTCTCACCTCTCTTTGAGGATGAATCAATCGGAAGTGTCTTTACTGCTGTCATCGACGACTCCGCTTGTATTTCAAGATATCGACGAATCACTCAGCATCTCTCTCCTCGACAGCGACGGCAACGGACCTCTCTCTGTGTGGCTCTCCTCAAATCGAAAGGTAAAGTGGTTGTTGTGTTGTTCAATCAACCATGTATTAGATTATGATTCTTGTTGTTAAAGGACTTATCTTTCAGTAATCTTCTGTTTATGTGCCCTGCCCCAATCATAAAGTTTTGTTCTTCATTCTCAAGTTCTTTCTCTCTCATCTTCAAACAATTTATAACACATGATCAAACATTCTTCTTCCAATTTTTTTTAAAAAATTAAGCATCTCTAAATAAGATACTTGCAATGGAGGGGGATAAATAAAAAATTGCTTAGCTAAGTTACTTAGCTAAGTTGCTTAACAAAAAAAATACCTTAAATACCATTATTATATGACTAAGCATCCCATAATGGAGTTGTGGGATAATGGTGCTCTTAGATCTCTTTTTCTCTTGCCATCGTGATTTCGAAAAGGGGGGTTCATTATTTCATTTCAGTCTGACAGATCAAAGAATATCAGTGACAAAACCTACACAAAGTCTGCTCCGTTCTCCTTGCTGTTAATCATTCTCCGCCAGCAACTATCTTCAACATCCCCCAGCCAATGAATAGCTAATTAGCTTCTCCCACAGAAAATGAGTCACAGATCGGTGTCATAATATTTTACCGTGTTTCCTCTATCTTGGACCAGAGAAGGTACCATAACAGTTATATTACTCTCTAGCCACAAAAAAAAACTTTACTTCATATTGACTTTCTTAGTTACTGTTATGAATTGCTTTCGTAGTTCTTTTTTTTTCTGGTTTTGAAATTGACCTTAAGGCTAGGAGATGAAATAGAGCTGGCAGAAGTTAGGTTGGACCAGTAGCTAATTGGTGCCATTGTTTGAGTCAGCCTGATGAGATCAAGAATGTGTTGTCATGAATTTCAATAACTCAAAATTGATCAACAATGCTTCATATTCCCTCTCACAATAAGGTACTGTTTCAAAAAGTCTATTTATATCTGATAGAACAAAATCAAAGGCCAAAACCCTTTGATTTGTGTATTAAACAGTGATTATTATCATATACTTTCTTTTATATACACATGATAACTTACTCATTTTGATTCTCGTTTATTTATGATCTATAATGCAACCAATCTACTCAGAAAATGTAGAACACAATCAGCACATAATAGCATAATTATGTCATTAAGATTATAAAATTTTTTCATGAAAGTAGTCTACTACCTCAGATGCATCGCAAGGTGTATGAAATGTTGCTCCATTCCATTAATGTTTTTTTTTCTTAATAATACTAAGAACATTAGAACAGCCAGGACTCAACTCTAATTAAAAGTAGAGAACAATATAAACTAAAAACTGGATACATATTCTTAATGTTTTATACGGAACCATTCTAAGAACGATAGAACAACCACTACTCAACACTAGTACAAAGTAGAGAACAATAATTTTTTGAACTGTTTTAACATTATTCACGATTCTTATACTGATCCATCTATATAGGTTGAATCATACCTTTAGCCAAGTTTTCTGGTAACTCATCACACAAACGAACAATTGTAGTAGGAAGCAAAATAATCTTGAAAGGATGTGTAGTCGTGCGATAAGGACCAGACTCCTGGGTGAGGCTCAAGTTTGTGAGAACGATTGTTTTACCCAGTTGAAGCAGCAGTTCATATTGCCTAACCAGATCCTTTTTCACGGTTCCATGGATCTTGTCTCCCTGTTAACAATTGATATGCACAAACTCTAAGAACAATATAACAACCACTACTCAAAACTAATTAAAAGTAGAGAACAATATAAATTAAGAACTGCATTAACATACTTCACGATTCTTATACTGATCCATCAAGCTAGAGAATACCTAATTACTTATGAAACCATATAATTATAAGTAGCTTTTCCTATATGCATGCTAAACTTACTCTAGCATCAACCAAAACCATCTCAATACTTTCACCGTAGGAAGGACCAGAATTAGGGATGTCAATGGAGGGACTGGAGCGCGGGCTGGGACCGTTAGGGTTTGTTGCGGGGGCGGGTATGGGCGGGGATATCAATAGCCCGCAAAATAGCGGGCCTCACGGGAGTGGGCTTGTACGGATCCGGGCTTTTTACTGTAGAGCCCGCATCTAGAATCTTCATTCTTCATTTGCTTAATCTCCTGAAAAAAAAAGTGAGAGAGTGAAAGGCATGACGATGAGATTTGCACCGTGAGAAGAGGAGCTAACCGAGATGACTCCGACGATGGCCGTTCGATGTCCGATGGTGCTTCTGGTCACTGCTTCGTCTTCCAGTTGCAGCAGAGGAGCTACACCGAGATGCCTCCCTCAAAATCGATTCTATTATTCCTCATGATTCATGAGCTTCTAAACTTCACTGATGGGAGTCCGATCATCGTACATGCATGTGCAAAGGTTATTTATTTCAGACAAAAATTTGAAATTTATTTGGACTTAAAATCTTTGCTTTAACACTTGTATTTTTTGTGTTATGTGTTTGATTCATTGTTTGTTTTGCTCCATCATCAAGGTTTATTGTTTGAAATAAGCCGATGGAGAAGACAAGAAGGATTAAGAGGTTTCTAAAGTTTCGGATAAGATACATAAGAGGCCTCCGCAAGCTTGATGATGGTAACATAAATCGTTGGTAACATAGTAAATTGTATATTTAGGAAAATGCTGAAGAATCCGAGTCCATGATGTACTGTGTTTGGATCCCTGTACTTGGTCTCAAGTTATTTGTGATGAACAGAAACATGTTACTTCTCTGTAAGTCACTAACCATAAATTCTTTCCTCAATGCTTGGTTAAATTAATAATAACTAATCATATTTTTTTTTCTCACAGAACCTTGTCTTACATGAACTTCTCCAGCTTGGCCAGCTTGGATTTAGAGGATAATCAACTATCTGGTCCATACCATTTACCCTTGGTAATCTCAAGAACATTCAGTTCTTTTAAGTGTCTTGAAACACACATATCTAAGCTCCCAAGGAACCCGTTTCTCTTCTTTAACTGTTTCTTCCTTTTTTTGACAGAACTATATATGCTGGTGATCGCTTGAACTTTGGCCTAGCAACTGGTCTAAGCTAAAACTGAGGGTTTCAAAGTAGAGGTAACACTGTTTATTGTTTTAGAATTTAGTGAGAACGTTGGTGGATAGAATGATATGATCAGTATAGTTAATCATGGTTTAGTGATCTTGCTTATGTGAATGTCTCTTACGTTAATATGCTGTGTTACTGATCTTATTTTTACGTTTACTAATATGAAACTGTGGTTTTATTTAATTCCGAAACTTAATATCTCATCATTTGAATCGATTGTTGCTGTTCAAGTAAGTGAATGATAGTTCATACAAAACGTTTTTGTTTATGTTTGGCTTACAGGGAGAAGCAGATGGACCATTTGCGTGTAACATCTGATGTCCCGCGGGCCAGCCCGCGAAGGCTTGAAAGAACTACCGGTACGGGACTGGGACACTATATTCAAGACCGCATCCCGCGCGGGACAAGCCCGCTCTTACCTGCAAAATGACAAACCCGCAGCGGTTTGGGACGGGACGGGAGAGTCCAATTGTCATCGCTAACCAGAATGTTGCTTCCAAAGTCGGATGATTTTGACCTTCCACATGGAGGTGAAAGGCTTCAGTTCGGAGATGTTGGGCAACCATGAAAATAAA